TAAAAGGGGTCAGGGTCACCCTAAAAGGGGTCAGGGTCACCTAAAAGGGATTTGGGGTCACCTCAAAGGGATTTGGGGCCACCCCAAAAGGGATTTGGGGACACCTCAAAGGGATTTGGGGACACCTAAAAGGGGTCAGGGTCACCCTAAAAGGGGTCAGGGTCACCTAAAAGGGATTTGGGGTCACCTCAAAGGGATTTGGGGCCACCCCAAAAGGGATTTGGGGACACCTCAAAGGGATTTGGGGACACCTCAGAGGGGTCAGGGCCACCCCAAAAGGGATTTGGGGACACCTAAAAGGGATTTGGGGACACCTCAGAGGGGTCAGGGCCACCCCAAAAGGGATTTGGGGACACCTCAAAGGGATTTGGGGACACCTCAGAGGGGTCAGGGCCACCCTAAAAGGGATTTGGGGACACCTCAAAGGGATTTGGGGACACCTAAAAGGGGTCAGGGTCACCCTAAAAGCTCTTTGGGCCACCAAAGAATGAAGAAAGCAGCAGAGGTTTTTGGGATCCGTCCCAGGGTTTTTGGGGTCTATCCCAGGTTTTGGGGTCTATCCCAGGGTCTATCCCAGGACTTTCGGAATCTATCCCAGGGTTTTGGGGTCCATCCCAGGGTTTATTCCAGGATTTTGGGGTCCATCCCAGGTTTTAGGGTTTTAGGGTCACTGACCTTTTTGACCATGGTGGTCTCAGCCGGCTCCAGCCAGGCCCATTTGGGGTTTGGTTTTGGGATCCATCCCAGGACTTTTGGAATCTATCCCAGGGTTTTGGGGTCTATCCCAGGATTTTGAGGTCTATCCCAGGATTTTGGGGTCTATTCCAGGATTTTGGGGTCTATCCCAGATTTTATCCCAGGGTTTTGGGGTGCATATCCCAGGGTTTTGGGGTCCATCCCAGGTTTTGGGGTCTATCCCAGATTTTATTCCAGGGTTTTGGGGTCCACCCCAGGGTTTTGGGATCATATTCCAGGGTTTTGGGGTCTATCCCAGATTTTATTCCAGGGTTTTGGGGTCCACCCCAGGGTTTTGGGATCATATTCCAGGGTTTTGGGGTCTATCCCAGATTTTATTCCAGGGTTTTGGGGTCCATATCCCAGGATTTTGGGGTCCATCCCAGGTTTTAGGGTTTTGGGGTCACTGACCTTTTTGACCATGGTGGTCTCGGCCGGCTCCAGCCGGGCCCGTTTGGGGTTTGGTTTTGGGGTCTATCCCAGGACTTTTGGGGTCCATATCCCAGGGTTTTGGGGTCTATTCCAGGATTTATTCCAGGATTTTGGGGTCCATATCCCAGAGTTTTGGGGTCCATCCCAGGTTTTAGGGTTTTGGGGTCACTGACCTTTTTGACCACGGTGGTCACGGCTGGCTCCAGCCAGGCTCGTTTGGGGTTTGGTTTTGGGGTCTATCCGAGGGTCTATCCCAGGACTTTTGGAATCTATCCCA